CTGACCTGGAAATAATTAGTTGACTTCAATGCAGCTTGTTACATTTTTGAAAGATTTGGGTTTTGCAAAGAGTATTTTAGAGATTTTGCAGGATGTTTGGAAGACAGACGAAAGTAATGATTAATGAGGAATGACAGTAGGTTATAAGTGAAACGGAACTGTAGTTCAGTTGTATTAGGCAAGTTGCAACACGGGCTTGGGAAAGCTGGAAACGGATGCGAAGCAATTAATTAACTGTCATAAAAATGTATTCAGAAAAAAAAAGCCTCAGAGAATTTTGTGGTCTTTCACCAGAAATTTCATCAGAAAAAAAGAAGCTAATAAACTTTGACGAGAAACTATGGAAATATGAGGTGGATTCATAGTGGGCTTGCAGTCCTAATAGAAAGCATCTGCGATAAATCACGAAGAACACGGGAAAATAACTTTGTAAAACTTTCCTGCGTATAACTGGTCTTTATCACTATATAACATGATTATCTAATAAAAACAAGCATACGTGATCCCCCAAACACCCAGAAAACAGTAATGGAAAATAACACAACGATCTTTATAACTGTAAAAACTTTTGCCTGCTGGGCCCAATCATCAAGTGCCAAATAAGTTTTTCTTAACTTTTTGTCTTTTTTCGCAACCCGTCCGTACATATTTCATTTTGTTTCCTTTTGGCGTACTTCTGTACTCATACTGCTCGTGGCTTGGATAGCAGACAGACTTGGAAAATTTGTTAAATTGTCTATTTAGTTCTGATCAACTTACTTTTTTTACTCAAGACTGTATTCATCACTATTTATTACTTTTGTAACTTTTCCTTGTCTTCTTGTCCTATTATTTTTTGTAGTTACTGCAGCGTAGCATTGAGAAAGAAATGTCAAAAAAAGTGAGATGGAAGCCATTATGAAAGCCATCATGTATGAGATTTGGCCCGCAAATAACAAGTTTTTTTGTAAAATTTGCAGAACGACAACAGAATCTACTTCGGGTCCAACTTTGACAAATCAGTTTTTTGGAATGATTGTTGCTGAAATGGAATTAAAATTTTGGTTAAAAACATTTGAAGAAGGCATGGCAAGGTTGCTGAAAATATATGTAATTTTCTAAGATGACTGAAATCTCGTGAAAATGACCTGACATATTCAACTTTTTTAATGTGCCACAGCACAGCATTTTGGGATTCTTTCTTCGCTGTTCAATTCTATCTGTTTCTTTCCTTCCTCTAGCTTTTAAATCTATTTAACTTAAGAAAGTTTCAGGCTTGTTTTGTTCACCATTTAAATTTCTTTATTATTTCTATTCAACTTTTTCCGGCTCTTTATTGGAGATGTAAGAAACAAAATTTTTTTCTACGTTGTCGTATAACGAGAGAAATTCTCGATGTCATTACACATTTTCTGCAGCTCCTTTTTTTTCTGGAGTTTCTTCTGTTTTTCTTTATCGCAATATTTATAAAATATTTATAAAATATTTTATAAAATATTTTTTAAAAATTATAAAATATTTTTTTTTGTTTCACACTGTGATTGCTATCAGATTCAGTCAATAAAAGATATTTTTTTGTGAGTTTAGCTCATTAAAACTTTTATTTTATTTAATTGCTAGGTTTAGCAACTGCAGCACAAAAAAAAAAAGAAAGATTTGGTTGGCAGCAAATTTTCTTAGTTCAGTGCCACAATTAGGGACAGTATAAAAGAAAAGAGCCTTTACTGATTTTGGCTTGCATTTTCCAGAATTCTAATCACTTCCGTTCCTCCTCTTTCCCGAGCTAACTCGAGAGGTGTTCTTTGAAAATAGCCGATAACGCTCAAGATGCAAAAATATAGATAAAATGAAAGTTATTTCTTATTTACTGCTATAAAATTATAAAGACTTTTTTTTATATTTTAATATGTGAATTTTTTGCGACGTTAAATTTTCTACTTTTTTTTTTAGCGTTAAAAATTGGAAATTTCGAGAGTTACATCGCTTTTACCGGATTATTTTTAGCATTTCTTAAAGTGACAGTTGTATTACAAACTAACATTCCTTTTTTCTTCAATTCTCTTTTATACAGTTTTTTAAAGAAACGTTTTTGACTTTCGTTTATTACGTTCTTCTAATACTTTTTTGCTCTCAAATTTTCTGTACTCTGTCTAAAGCTTTTTAACTTTTGTTTTCTTTGAGTCAAAATTTTACGTCTTATAAAAGCCGCTTGTTGCATATTTGTGGTTTTTTCTTTCAAAGTTGAAGAGTATCGAAAAAATTTAGTAGTTTTTTGAGGTGACCAAGTTTCTGTTTTCACTTTTTTTTTTTGCAACTTACGCATTCTTTCCTATTTTTGGTTTAGTTTAGTCTATTTCGTTCTTTTTTCGCAACTTTTTCACTTCCCGTTTTCGCATTTGGGATAATTTTTTGTTTGACTTGAAAGGTTTTGACCGCTAATCGTAATTCGCACAGTGACTGCAAGACAGCATTTTTTTGCAAAAAAAAAGCTTAATTACCCTATACTGCTGATATGAAACTTTCTTCTACTCTTTATTCTTATTTTAGTTGATTTTTTGTCTTTAATTCTCAGTAGAACTTCTTAACCGGTGAACTTGTTGTTAGTGTAGCCAGAATTTAAAATTATTTCCTGTCTCTGTTTTTGCCCATTTTACGACTATTATCTCAGTTTCGTGTCTTGCGTTATAACTGCTCATGAAGTTTATTGTTCCACCATATTTAATTTATGTCATTACAAAAAAAAAAAAAAGAAAAAAAAATAATAACGCTGATGTTACTAGAAGGCAAATCACTTTAAATCATTTTAGTGAAAGATTTATAAAAGTAAAATTTTGATTAACATTAACTTGAGCAAAAGAATTTAACAATGATAAGGCTTTCAAAGAGAAAACAATTATGATACAGAAAAAAATTATATATAGATAAGTTGTTGTAACAAAGAAGACGGTATGTATTACTTTGACAGTGAAAGGTAGAAGAAAGCAAAGAAAGAGGTAGTGCACAGACAGGTATCCATAAAGGTTGAAATGGAGAACATATAGCGAAGCAACTTCTGTTACTTTCTCAGCTACAAGAGCAGAATGGCAAAAGAATGAAAGCAAGATATAGTCTTTGGTAAGGCTTTAGAAGCTGTGTCAAGTTAAAAGTTGAGAAGATAGGCAGCAAAAATGTATTGAGTTTTTACAACTGAAAGCTAAAAAAAAAGTTTTTTGCAGCACTTGCAAAACATACAACTAACAGATATCTTCAACAATTGAGTTTATAGAAAAAAAAGTTTTGTAACAACAGTTAAGTTCACACGTGGTCTAAAAAGAAATTTTCATCTATAAATATAATACCTAAAGCCTCATTATAAAAAATTATTTAGCAGATATTTATTCAGCATTTGTCATTAAAAATTTTCAGTTTTTCGTTCAGAAAGAATTCCGTTTTTTCCTTTATTTTAAAACTTTTTTGCGGCAGTCCGATTATCAAAAAATCTGAAGTTCCGTAAAGCACAGAAAAACCAAAAAAACTACTCAAAATCACCCGCAAAGTAAGTGCCTTTCTGCTGGGATTTTTCAAGATTCTTGTGACGGATACAGTGAAGCGAAAATAAAAAAAATATGTGACAACATTTCATCACCGCATAGCATACATTGGAAAAATAAATTACTTTTCAATAAGCCCTGTTCCAGACTGCAAAAATTGGTATTTAAGTAAAACCTGTTTTTTGTTACAAATGAGGTCCTGCAGCAAAACATGAGTTCTTAAGTCGTTTGTCTGACTGTATTTTAAACATGCTTCATCTTTTCACACGGCTGCGGTCTGGAGGTTCTGTTTACAGCAAACAGTTACCTAAAAATTAACAATTCCGTAAAGTAACCATACGCAAAATAAAAGACTTACATTCTGCTAGTGTTCGTTAAGCCATAAATTTTAAAATAATTTACCAATCGGAAAGAAGCGTGTCCCAGAACTATGACGAAGATGACAGTGAATCAATAATAGACGATATTTCATAAAAGATTTTGTCAAGATCGGCATCTCCATCAACCTAAAACAGGAGCACTCAGTTTAACAAAACATGCTGGCTTTCAAATTTACTAACTGATAAGAATCAACCTTTTTTTAAACTTTTTAACTTACAACGCGAAGTTTCCCTTTTTCATCAAAATGCTTCACCATCGGCAGTGTGCTTTGTTTGAATAGCGAAAGACGATTTGTGACAATTTCTGGAGCATCATCTGAAACCGCAGTTGTGTAAGAAAATCAGAAAACTTTCTTTAGAAATAGCAGACAAATTGCAATTTATTTTACCTTTACGTCTTGCCTTCTCATCTGCAGCTTTGAACCTTTTCTCAATACTTTTCTGACAAAATTCTTCGGTGCAGTCAATTAGGAGAGCCAGGTCCACTCGTTCAAACTAAAAAAGTACAATACGTTTTTGATAAATACACGCGTAAATTAAAAAGTCAGGAAGAAAATCTCCTAACGAGTACCTGCTTTTCAAAATCAATTGCTTGTTCTAATGTTCGAGGATATCCTTCGAAAACAAAGCCTTGACAGTCCTTATCTGTTGCATAGATTTCAGGGTACAAAACTTCCCGACAAATCTCCTAAAACAAATACAACAAGATTAATAAACCAGCTATAATTTTTGAGCAGGTTCTGCCTAACAACTGCAGTCACAAATCAGAAACGTAGAAATAAAGATCTGCTTTGATGAAATCTACTTTACTGATATCAGAAGCAACAAAACGTCAATCTATTCATTTTGAAGTACTATTTAAAAAAAAATTATACTTTTTTTCAGGACAGTTTTTTTAGTCTCTCTAATGCTGCTGCTTACTAGTTCACATTTTTGAAAAAGTTTACAAACTACATTTTCAGACGCCCGTTTTTTAGAACACGATTACTTTATAGTCTTCCAAGCCTCGTATCTAAATATTTTTAATAGATTTACTAAGATGCTGAGAATGCATGAAGTCAGTATACAAGTCTTAGATTGATAGGTGAATGAGGACTGCTATACCAAAATGCATTTTGATCATCAGCGCCCCCAGTCAGAGCATGCAAAGAAATCTGCATGGTCAACAACACATATTTCCTAAAAGTACAGAAAACAAGGAGAGAAGAACAATCATCTTACTGCAAAAGCACATTTTTAGTGCATACATTACACAGTTCTTTTTTTATTGCATACTGAATTTTAGCTACGTTGTAGATTGCCTTTAGAACTGCGAAAGCATTTAGTACGCAACCTCATGATACGTTAGTACTACTTTTCGGCAAACAGCTACTAGTCATAAAAAATTACTTTTGAAAGAACGTGACGGGTTTTGAAAACATTTCTTACCAAACGTCTCTAAAGCAAAATAAATAAAACAGAAGTGTCATCCGAACTTAAGAAAATTGGTAAACTCTGACAGTAAACCTCTAAAGTTCACAAAAAACAATCACTGAAGGCCAAGCTAAATATGAAAGAATAAAGAAAAATTGCAGAATAAAAAAAGATAATTTCTTCACTTTTTGAAACTTCAAAACCAGTTGGCAAGAAATAAATAATAATGTCTTCACAAACTCGTTTCCTGCCCGAAGCATTTTGTTTCATTTCTGCCCTTCTAAGAAAGCTCTTAAGAATTTCCACAATTTAAGGGGTGGAGCTGAAGAACTGCCAAGAGGAGACCATAACTCAGTGTAATTAATTTTCGTCTACTGAAGTCACTAAAGCGCTTGAATCTTTTTTTTTTCCTGATAAAACTTTTGATGATCAGCATAACCGGCACAATTGTACTGAAATTGTTTTATACTAACTCCAGGTTTATCTCATTAGGTCTCTTGCTAAGCGCATCAAAATTCCTTATTTGAAACTTTTATCAGAGAAAAGATGGACTCGATCGCTTTGAGAGTAGTAAAAAAAAATTCGGCGAGTTTCTAAAAGCTGCAGTGTATAAGTAGAAAAAAAGAACTAAAATTTGTTTTGTATGCTTTAATAAGCGGTCCAACTGCTTAACGTATGATCACTATTATTAGCTTTGTGGCCGAGTTTTGTTAAAAGAAGAAATATTTTCAATATTAGCTGCTGGTAGTGTATTCCTCAGCAGTTCTTCAGCTTTATCTGCCGGGTTTCTGACCGTTGTATCAAAACTCCTCTGTAACTATTTTTGAGATGAAAAACTTAAGACCTCTTAAATCTCCTGTCAATAGTGTGAAGGTTTGTCTGGCGGCTGTAACCAATTTTATATACTTGAACATATCGCTAGTGAGAAATCAGCTTAAGAACATCGGGGAACATTATAACACAGTATTAAATTTCTTTCTTTTGCAACAAGCATTGTTTGCAACGAGTGATGCAAATTCTACGCGCTCACAATTTGATATCTTCTTTTTGGAAGGCTTATGACATCGCTTTCTTACAAAATTTGTCCGCGTCACCTTCTCAGAAAGAGTTCAATGTAGAAAAGAAAATAAATAGCTGAGCCGCCATTCAGTTTGTTTCGTGAAAACAACACAGAAATTTTATAGATAAGCAAAAATAAATCAACAACAGTCCTGAAGCGGTTACTGAAGGTTTCCCAGCCTGTATTTGATTATTTTGTTCTGTCACCTTTTTTGTAGTGGAGACTCTGATAGTACCTCAATAAGCTATTATTCTATTACTGTACATTGTCTTATCTGTCAACATTCAACAGCGGAAAGTTTCAATAAGCTAATTTCAAATTACTGTCTTTTTCTGAACTCCAAGAGTATCCTAAAACAACTACGCCTTTATTACTAACTAGTTTGCAACAGCAAAAAAGTGAGAGAAATGGAGAAAAGCGATTTGTCGAAGAACTGTACAACTTGTCGAAGAACTGTAAATCTATCGCATTTTACATTTGTAATGAAGGTATTTAATTCCCACCTCTACTTTGTTTTCTTCTGTTTATGGTACCTCCAAAGCCGCATTTCTAAAAGCCCAAAACACTGCCAGAAATTTCCGTTATGCTGTACTCTGCTATTCTAGGAAAACACTTTTAATTTACCCCTCTGTACTTTTGCTGGTTCCAGTAATATTAAGTATGACTCAAGCTTGAAATAAAATTGCACTTATAACGTGGATCACAGTATGCCAGTGAAAGTTGAAAGTTTCTACAAATTATGCTTAAAAATAATAGTTTGAGGAATGGCAACACTTCTAAAAAACAAACATTTCATTAGTCAACCGTTCCGACGCTTGCCACCTTATATAAAATTTTTACAGAGACGGTAATCGAAATCTGTTTATAAGAAAATCACGAGTTTTTTGGTCTTCATTGATCCAACTAAAGTCAATCTCTCAGGTGATATTTTTGCGACTAGGTTTAAAGTCAAGAACTACTAAGTACATTTACCAATTTGACATTATATCAAATAAAAAAGTTTACCAGAATTCAATCAACTTTACTGAGCAGGCTTTCTAGCAAAACTTACAAAAAAATGAATAAGAACTTACATCAATTATCAATTTCCCTTCGTCCATAAACTGCCTAACTTTTTCCCATAATTCATCACCAGCATTTGTCTCGATTTTTGCCCTTAAAAGTCCTCCCATACTGTACCATTTATATCCAGCATATTTTATCGTTGTGCGGCGAGAAAGTTCTGTTTTACTGCTTCCAGGTGGACCTTAAAAAAGAAAAAAAAACAAATCTCAAAATATGTTTTCATTTTTTTTACTGTATTAAATAAAGAGACTAACGAGTGCAAAATTATTATTCAGAATCACCTATGATTATTATGCAGGGAGACGAGTTCGGTAAGCCGTGAGGAAGTGAACCACTGCGTGAATTTAGATGGTACCTAATATCTGCAAGCACACTGGCACAGTTGGAAGTCATTATACATATTGTGCTTGCAGTGCATTTCTACACATTGTCAACGGTGATTTAAAAAGTGAAAGAACCTTTCAGCCTCGGATCAATTGGTCCATTTGCTTCTTTCGGAACAGTATCAGTTTCTGGCGGTTCTTTAGATGGCAAAGTTTTATTGCCTGTAGGAGCTGCTTCTTTGCCGTTTGCTGTTGGCGTTGATACTTGGCCGGCAACGGCAGAAACTCTTTCGTTAACCCTATTTCTCTTGTCATTGTCTGAGCGAGCTTGTTCTGCAGTGGTTTTTGCATTGAGATTTGAGAAATATTTCTGTAGCTCTTAAGCGTATTCAAGCATTAGCAGGCAAAAAAGAAATTATTTTTTGTAATAAAAAATAAGTTGTAAACTTGTAGAAGACAAAATGGACTGAGAGACAAAATAATTAGATAGTAAGTTCTGTAACTTACCCTCACTGAAAACAGTGCTTTCTATCAACGAGGCAACTTCGTAAAAGATTTTGTCAATGTCAGCATCGCCGTCAACCTAAAGAAATTTAAATATTCTTGTACAGTAACACTGTTTTGGAAAACATCTGTACGTCTGCGTACAATTTTTGCTTTCTTGTAAATGTCTGTATACAGAGTAAAGCAAAAGTCCTAGCGCACGATTTTTAGTACTCATGCCTGTCAAAAAAATTTTACAGTGTACTTTACAAAAAGAAACACTCTTGCTTCCGGTTTCATTCCCATTTACGTATGATTGGTAAAAGGGTAAAAACGACTATACCAGCCTGACTATAACTAACAAACCAAGTAAGACCCTGACAATAAGAGAAAAACAGTCAGGAATAGCTAAAAACCAGATTCCCTGAACTTTTAAATTTAGTATTAATTAAGCAGCAGCAAAATTTAGACCCAAAGCAATAATTTCAGTAGTGGTCGTCTTTGAATTTTTCTCTGAAAAGATGCGATTAGTAGGAAAGACATAAAAATAGCTAACAGCAAGCAGAGTTCAAAAATCCTGGAGATGCACAAAGATGAGAGAAAATGTAGTTACAAAAAATGCTTAGGAAGAAAGAAACTTTCATAACACTTGTCTGATGTAATAATCTAAATCAGCTAAAACTAGGTCTACACCTCATATATAATAACTGTATATTCCCAGTTATATGTGAAAGACCATAAGTGTAGTCAAATTTCTGTCAGTTTGGTATGAAGCAGTATCTTGGAGCCGTTCTTTCCAATAATAAAGCTGTCAGGCAATTGACTATAAACTGTTAGAGCGCAGCAGAAGAAATTGTGTCTTATGCAAGGTACACGATCCAGTGAAGTGGTTATAAAAGTGTTATGGATTTTAATACAAAAATCACATGATCTTTGACAGAAACTATGAGTTGTTTCCTGACAAGCATGCTGAAACGTGCATGTGACTTTATTTAGAAAACATTATAAAGAAGTGTTTCTTATTCTGCGCATTTATACCTCTAAATTATGTTTTTTTCTCACAGAAAAGAAGCTATAACCTAATCAAGCTAGACTGTTTGTCACTGTTAAAAGATAGCTGAGAAACCACCCAGTGTTAAGCAACGGACTTTATATGCCTTATATTTAGAAAAACTTCGGATTTCTTAGATTGTGGACTGCTAGTTGGAGAAGTTTGTGAAAGACCGCATGTCATGGCATACTTTTTGAGAGCATTGATGATAATGATTTGGGAAGAAGATAGCGGAGGTTACCTTTGTTTAGTTTCAAAATGGTTTTTGAAGCAGTTGATAGTTTTCATCTAGATGACTGTTTCAAATGCAGTTTTTATTACCTGTTTCGCAGCAAGTATTAAAAAAATGTTTCAGCATTTTATAGTTTCAACATTTCTTTCTCATTGAAGATGCGGTAGAATGTTTTTTGTATTAAAGTTCTGTTGCATTTTTCATAATTCAAAAAAGTAATAATCTATTATGCTAAATTTGAAAGATTCACTTTCTAAAAATTGGTAATTGTAAATTAAGACTGTTGTAATTTGGTTCGCAAACCATCTTTTTCCACTTTTGTAAGCATTCTGCACCAGTTTCTACAATTACTTTCAAGATTTATAAGCATTCGTTTCTAATTCTTGCTTATAAGAAGGCTCCAAAAAGCATGTTTTATCATTTTACTAAAAAAGTAAAAAAAATATTGGGAAACCAAAATATATTTGAAATTGATGAAGTACTTTTCAGTTTTAAATTTTTTTTGCACCCGTGCCTTTCAGTTTTAAATTTCTTGAGTACTTTTTTAAAAAAGAACAAGCCCTTCACGCATCTTTCATAGGTAAATGGTAAGAAAGAAAAGCAGAAAAACTTGCTTAATGCTGTTTGTTTTATGATACAACGATCACAAAACTGTTTAAGGATTTGGGAGCAAATTGAATTCAGTAAAAACCATATTCCAATTCTCCTTAACCTAGCGGTAGGCCGTACCATTGAAAAATCTTAAAAGTGTCATTCACTTCTGTACTCTCTGTCATGAATAATTTTATAAGTAACCTTAACAAAAATAACACATACCACTCGCAGTTTCCCCTGGGTGTCCAGAAGTTTCAACATTGGTAAAGTGTACTGTTTGAAATTTGCCAGACGAGTTTCGACACTTGCATCAGCGTCGTCTGCAATGAGGTGACATTCTGTTGACAAATTTGGCAATTATGATTCTTAACGATTTTTAAAAACTATGTGTTCAGTTTTAAATAATTAATTAATATTCCAGAATTTTGTTACCAGGCCGTCGGTCTTCAGGAGCAGCGGTGGTAAACCGTTTTTTTAGCGCATCTTTACAAAATTGCTCTGTACAGTCAATAAGCAACGCCAAATCTATTCTTTTAAACTGAAAATAAAGAAGAATTTGATCATGAACAAAAAAACTAAGAACAAATATACCTGTCTCTCAAAGTCTTTAGCCTGCTCCTCTGTTCTTGGATAGCCAGATACAACATACCCCCAACTGCTAACGTCATCCTGCATTTTCTTATACAATACTTCACGACAAATCTCCTAAATTTTTTGACCATTGTGCCGCAATATAAGCAGTTTTCTGTGTGCTTTATTGACCAACAAAAATTTCAAATAAACGTATTAACGCTTATCAGACACTGAAGGTTTGACTAATGCGTACATCAGGTATCATTTCTCCCTTGTCCATCTTTTCTCCAACCATTCGCCAAAGTTCATCTCTTTCATTACGCTCTACCTTTTGCCTCAATAATGCTCCCATATTGTAAACGTCAAAACCCTCAAACTTTATTGATATCCTTCTCGCTATCTCTGCCTTGTTTGCTCCAGGAGGGCCTAGAAATGTAAAGACAGCTAAATAGTTGAGTAAAAAACTGCTTTTTGGTTACTCTAATCTGCAGAAATTAATCTAGACCCTTTCTATTCGACCACCAATTTTAAGTTGTCGATCAAGTTAAATTTTACCGATAACAAAAATCACAGATTCTGGTTCGTCGCTTGCAGGAGCATCAACACTTTCAAATGGTTGCAGATTCTTCAGGTTTGGCGTACCTAGAATAAGTGCTACATTGTACGGTCAAAAACAGCTTCATGCACAAAACACACTACATGAGGTTTACAAAATGTTGTCTATTTGATGGGAGAAAAAGAAAACAATCTTTCAAAACGTTATAAGAGATTTGCTGCGTACAATATCTCTTCACTAACTGAACTAAATTAATTTTGTTTTCAAAATAATTGACTGTAAAAATATAAACATGTGGTTGTTTGAAAAAACTACCTATAACTGGTTCAGGGGAAGTCTTTAAAGTAACAGGCACCTCCGTGGTCTTCTTATCCTCCGGAATCACCTCATTTGAAGTATTTTTCGTTTCTTCAGAAACTGAAATTTTTATTAGTTTTTTCTTGAGAAAATGAATACTTAAAAAAATTCTATTCTTTTTTTAAAGTGAACTGTGATTAGCAGATGTTTAAAATCAAGAAGAATACAATATAACATGTTAAGCTTAAGATTAAGCAAACATCTTCAAAGGTTCTAGTTTTTTTTACATACTTGACACAAATGGTTCTTCAGGACTCGTTGGATTCTGTAATTTGTCAGGCTTGGCAGACCCAACTGATTTTGTCGATCTTGATGTTTCTGGTCTTGAATCAGGTTTAGCCAAGTCGGCATCGCTAAGAATATCATTAGCGTTTTGTGTCGCTGAAGAATGACCGAGATTTAAAGAAGCATTTGTATTTGGCTCGGTTGCATGCACTTCGGCCTCTGCAACAACATTTTCTTCTTCAGCAGCGACAGATCTTTGGTCTTCCTGAGGCTCCATTTTTGTCTCTCGTTTTGGAGATAATATCGGCTCTTTTTCTAGTTCTAATGATGTGTTAGGTTCCTGTTCTAATTCGACTTTTGATTCCTGTTTCAGTTCTGTTTCAGCCTCTGGTTGCAAATGTTTTTCTACCACCACTAAAACAAAACTACATTCATCAGTTAATTTTCAACTCATCAAAAATTTATTATTTTAATAAAGTACTGGTACATAAACAGATAAATCAACATGGCTTTTCAAGTCTATTTGGCTGAAAATAAACATGTATCAAGTATTAAACAAAGGTACTTTCAAAGTGTTATTTGAAGCATTTCTGTCTTGTCTAACTGATTAAGAATTTTAAAACCAATTTTTCTCAACACTGACTAGAGAACGAATGGAGCTCAAAGTATTGATTATGATGATTATAATTATAGAAAGCAATAAAAACGTTGATGCTGAAAGAAAATAAACAAAAATTTTTCATCTTGCAATGGATAGATTTAGAGGCATTTCTAAGCTAAAAACAAGTGCATTTATTCTAAATTTTTTGGAAAAAAAGTTACAAAATATTTTTACTAAGCCATTAAACAAGCAGTTTCTTCAAGTAAAAAGCAAGCAACAATTTTATACTAGCCGTTTTCTATCTCACCTACTCTTGCCAAGCTATGTTCTTCATCATCAGCGTCTTCACTGATCGCTGCAGCTGGTATCACTGTAGATGTTGAGGTAATATTTGAAGTTTTCACTTCTTCTGGTGAAGGTGTTCTTGGTAAACTCTTAGGTGACTGTATTTCAGCATCCTAAAAAAAGCTCACTGAGGGCTTGTTACAACTAAATAATATACTTTATTAAATAATTGTTTACAATTGATGGCTGAGGTGAGGCAACTTCGTCATGAAGGTCTTTTGGAGATGTTACTGTTGGAGCAGCTGAAATATTGTCTAAATTAATAAATTTAAGAAAAAAACACTCAGGTAGCTTTCAAATTTTATTAATTTCTCAGTGGTAATTAAGAAATACAATTCTTTCATTTACTTTTTAACTTAAATTATTTTGCTCAATCAAAATAACAGAATAATGCTAAAAAATGCATAAATTATACCCGATGGTGGAGAAGTTGTTGTAGACGGTCTTGAAGACCGTGCACCTGATCTTTGCTTAGAGCTACGACTAACTGGTACGCCGGTCTCACGAGCGACAATTTCAGCCTCCAGAAGTGTCGGAGAAGCTACTGACTGCAATATTTTGGAATTAACTTCTTTTCTCAATTACATTTACGTGCCTACCATATTGAGGGTTTATAAACTACAGAATTTGTTAACAGTTAGTAAAATACGTTTAGAGCTTAAACAGTATGCAGATATTATAGAGCATTGGCAAATGATGATACAATAATTTACAAATAATACAGCAATTCACCTTTGATATTGAATGTCTGCGACTGGAAACAACTGATCGGGAAAGTGGTATACCATTTTCTATAGCTCGTCTAATCAACTTCTTCATACGGTTGCATATGGTAACATCATCAGCTTCTCCAGGGATCTATAAAAAGTGATACTTATATATTAAGAAAAAAGAAAAGTTCTGAAATAAGCCTCATAATTCATGAACAAAATAAAACTCTAAAATTTAGGTAGATTTATTGATGCTAGCAAGAAAACTGATTGCTTATAAACATCATAATGTTTTACCAAATGCAATAGCTTCTGTTCATCAAAATATTTAGCACTTGGTAAAGTTTTCATTTTAAAATTCCAGATTTTTTGGTCAATGACTTCCGGATCAATCCCACGACTTTCCATATGATTTCTTAACGTAGCTTCATCATAATCCAAAATCATTACCATATCCACTTGTCGCACCTAAACATCTATTTACAGAAGAGAAGAACTTAATGTTTGCTGAAATTTATAGTCTCAAGTTACTTATACTCAAATCAAATTTTACAAAAAAACCTATAAAATTTTTTTTAGTTTTGAAGGTCATTAATTTATAAACTTCAAAGCACTAATTCTGATTGTTTTGCAACTACTACGCATTGAATTAACTTAATAACTGATTACAACTTATACCTTATATTTTTAACTATTTGGTCATTCAACAATTTTAAGACAGAGACGATTGTTAGTCGTTGAAATATTGAAGAGATTATTACGCCTATTATAACATTGTTAAAGTAATAGATAAAAAGTGTCCTGTTTTGTGTCTGCTTATACGTGTATTAAGATTAAAAATAAATTTTTTTCCAAAGCAGCGAACAGAATTCATGACGTATTACCTCACGTTCAAAATCTTCAACTTGTCTAGCCTCTCGTGGAAATCCCTCTAAAAGAAATGCTTTTGCATCCTGATACCTACCCATTTCTGCTTTAATAAGATCTAAGGCAAGGTTGTTTGCTATCAGTTCACCTAAAAAGGAAAAAGAGGAAATTTTACCAGTTAATAATCATGTCACACATTTATTTCTTGTAATTAAATATAAAGTGCAAAAAAAATCAAAAATTTTTTTTAGAAAAAAAGCAACTTTGATGGAATCTGTGTACTGCAAACTGCTCATTCTCTTTTTTCCCAAAAATTACTCTTTTTCAATAATAAAGTTTGTTATTGCAAATAAAAAAGTGCCGTTTTTATTGTCAGTTACCTCTCTGAAATTTTTCTGCTGCTTCTTTCCAGTCCCGATAACGATCTTTATATTTTTCAATTGCTGCACGAATCATATCAGGCATACATAAATGAATCAGACCTTCGTCTTCAAGTGTATCCCGTACCTTAGCAGCATATTTTGTTTTCCCCCCACCTGGACCACCTATAAATTTTCAACCTCAATTGAAGTGCGGCAAAATAAATTCAATAGAAACAACTTTTTCAGTTTTACTTTTACACACAAAAAAGTTAAAAAATCAATTACCCATAAATAAAATAATAGGCACTTCTGGAATTTTTGCTACTTCAGCTGCTTTTGTTAATGACGGTACCCTTCTGAGTTTTCTTTGAAGGTCTTGTGACGCAGACTGACTTGAAAAAGAAACAAAGATAATTTATAAATGAAAAATCTTTTGTGTTATTAACAAGAAATTGCAGAGTATTTGTCAATTGCTACTTGGTATATAACTCTCTAAAAAAAAAGCACTAAGTTTGGAACTAAAGTTATGTAACATTAATTAAAGCAAAAAATAATCTACTTCCCTAACTTGTTATACTTTTTATCAAAAAAAAATTTTGTTTTTAAAACTTTGAAGCAAAATAAAAGTGTTTACTAAAACTAGGCCATATGTAGCTGTAAATAGATTATAGAAAATTTGTCAAAATTACTAATAGCAAAGTAAATATCAGTGGATTGCTATTCTCATTTCTATTGTTTTAAAAAGTTTAAAAAAAAAACTATTTTTTTACACCAGTTTTTTTGCTATAACTTCACGGAACACCGTAACGATAAACTGAGAAGCACTGAAAATGATGGCACCAATAATGTTCTTAGAGTTTAAAAATACATCAAAATGGTATGCTGTTGTTGGCTATTTGTTGCGCTTGATAAAAGTGTTCTTGTCGAGAGAATAAGAAAATATAGGCTTAAAATATGATAAGCGAAGCAAAAAACAAATTTCTTTTAAAAACAGTCTTAACAGCACAGAATTGGATTTGTATTGTTACCTTTGTGCGCTATCCTTTAGCTTTGAATCGCTTTTCTCATCCTTCTTACTTCTAGTTTTAATTTCTGAAACAAAATTGCAGATCTTAGTCAGTCTGCCGAATAAAATGAAGCTTTAAAAAATTAAGAAGAAAAAAATTTATTTAACAAATAATAAAGCAAAAAAGTAAAAAAATAAAAAGAATAGAAAAGGTAATGTATTTGATTCTCTACAAGAAACAAGTGAATCATAACTAAGAAAAAATACTCTCTTTTAGTATTGCAGTTTGAGCGTGCTAAAAAAAAAAAGAGAAGACCAAAAGACCAAACTGAATGCAAATATAAATGGGTAATAAAAATTAAGAGAATTAAAATGAAAGAGGAAAAATCAAAGTTAAAAATTAAAAAATTAAACTTTTTTATTTTACTTCTTGTCTATTTACTTCTTATCCTCAACCTTCTTTTTCGTTCTTTTTGTTTTTTGTCTAAAATTTAATTTTTTTTTGACAAAAATGGCTAAAAGAGGAGGAACAAAGGAAAGAAAAATGATGGAAAAAAATGCACTAATGTTTAAGACAAGCGCCCTGTCGATGCCCAATGCTGGTAACCGGGTATCATCAATATCTGCGGTTGTCATCGCAAGCCGAACGCCCAACGGGCCGACATCACGGTTGAAGGTGGATAAATTATTGAAAAACATTGCAAAAAAAAGAAAAATAAATAAAAAAAAAAGAAAAAGAAAAAAAAAGAGAAGAAAAAAAAAGAGAAGAAAAAAATTGGTTCTAGCAATAAATCTTTTTGGGTAGGTTGTTTTGAAAAAAAAAAAAAAA